AAAAAAAAAAAAAAAAAAAAAAAAATATATATATATATATATATATATATATATATATATATATGAAGTTTGAGGAGACTGCTCCAAGATGTTTCCCCTCTCTGGGGTCCCAGCCAGGGCAGGGCTTGGTCTCATTCCTGTCTTCATTCCCCAGGGCCCAGCCCAGGGCCTGGCCCCTAGCAGGTGCTCAGTGAACCTGGGTGGACTTGTTCTGAGTTCGGTTCAGACTGCTTTGGAAGTAGAGCATTTGGGGGCCAGAGCTGGATGTAGGCTGGACTGAGCACTTGGTGCCCTCTCCTACCTCCCCAGCCTGACCAATGAAGTGGTCCATACGTGTCTCACCATCAGCAGCAAGGTGGAGGAGATCATTCCACGGAAGAGCCACTTCCTCATGTGGGACCTAGTGGGGCAGGAGGCTCTGCACTCCACCTGGATCACATATTACTCCAACACCGAGGTGAGGAGGGCACCAGGCTGGAGGGTCTCCAAGGCAGCTGTGTGATATCAGACAGTCACGTAACCTCTCTGAGCCTTGGTTCCTCAACTTGTGAGATAGAGATTATAATGATTGGCAGGGTGTGGTGGCTCACGCTTGTAATCCCAGCACTTTGGGAAGCTGAGGTGGGTGGATCACCTGAGTTCAGGAGTTCAAGACCAGCCTGGCCAACATGGTGAAACCCCGTCTCTACTAAAAATACAAAAATTAGCCAGGTGTGGTGGCTCATGCCTGTAATCCCAGCTACTTGGGAGGCTGAGGGAGAAGAATCGCTTGGACTTGGGAGGCAGAGGTTGCAGTGAGCCAAGATCACACCACCACACTCCAGCCTGGGCAACAGAGCAAGAATTTGTCTCAAAAAACAAAACAAAAAAACCCAAAAAACCAAACCAAACAAAAATTAGCTGGATGTGGCGGCATGGGCCTGTAATCCTAGCTACTTGGGAGGCTGAGGTGGGAGAACTGCTTGAACCAGGGAGGCGGAAGTTGCAGTGAGCCGAGATCGCGCCACTGTGCTCCAGCCTGGGTGACAAAGTGAGACTCTGTCTCAAAAAAAAAAAAAAAAAAAAAGACAATTATAATGGAAGGAGGGTGGTGAGATCTTGACCCTGCATGGTTTCTTTTCTCTGGAGCTGGTGCAGAGACCAGTGGGGAAACACAGTGGGCAGAGACACGTTTACCAAAGAGAAAGCCCGCCTCTCATGCTACCCTCTGCTGTCCACTTCAGCATCGTTGTGATCGACAGCACGGACCGGAATTGGCTGCTGACTGCTCGGGCAGAGTTATATAAAATGCTGGCCCATAAGGTAAGCCCCGTGCAGTTGGGACCCCAATGGTAGTAGCTGTGCGCCCTCAGGCTGGTCACTTAGCCTCTCTGAGATTCATTACTGATGTCCCAGGTTTTGAGAGCTTCTACACCAGCAGCATGGGCAGGGCTGGTTTATGCCTGACGAAGGGCATCAGTGCCCTCAGTGCAATTGACTACAGAAGCCAGAGGTGCTGGTTCAAGTTTTAACCCCATCTTTCATTCATTGTGGGACTTTGGGCAAGTGACTTCACCTCTCTAATCCTCAGTTTCCCCAAGTATAAAATGAGCGGGATCATCAATTCCCACCTATGGGATTGTCATAAAGAGGCTTTCCATGAGCTGCTAGTGTCATTTGATGTGGTTGCTACCACTTTGGCAGGGCTCCCCATCTCTGCCCCATCTGGGCATGGGCCTCTCTTGCTGGGACAGCTGGAGAGGGAGCCAGAGAGGACCTGTGAGGCAGTAGGAAGGCTGGGCCCTAGCAGGCTGCCTGGGGCTGGGCCCCTCTGTCCACAGGCTTCTGCGGGATGCTTCTGTCCTGATCTTTGCTAACAAGCAGGACGTGAAGGACTCCATGAGCCTGGTGGAGATCTCCCAGTTCCTTACTCTCAGCACCATCAAAGATCACTCGTGGCATATACAAGGCTGCTGTATATGGGGAAGGGTTAGTGGCTGCCCCACCAGGACCTCCAGGGCCTGGCTGAGCCAATGGATGACTGATCATCAGAATCCTCCTCCTGTCTCTCTCCTGTCAGAATCTGGCTCACAGTTGGCTCCTGGGCCAAGCCAATTGGGCATCTCCCCGCAGTTGAGACATTGTGGGTAAGCCGCGAGCAGACAGCATACTGGCTCTCAGGGGCTTGTTCTAGTGGAGAGAGAGATAACACTCCACCTAAACGCAATACATATATATATATATATATATATATATATATATA